AAAAAAAAAAAAAAGAAAAGAAAAGAAATACAGAGATGTATTGTTTATAGCCTGCTAAAGGAGAAAAAAGCAGAATTGGGCAGGGAGACCCTCAGTTGGGAAATCTTGACTAACCCAATAGCTCTGAAGCAAAGTCTACCTGTTAGGGATGTCTCCTATTGGGTGGAAATGCTCAGACCCTGGTACCTCGCTGTGCTCAGACAGTGGCTGAGACTGCAAAGAAAAGCATGCCCTGGAGTGGGCAGGAAGCCGGAGGATCCCTTGGACCCAGGAATTTGAGGGAGCTGTGAGCTGGGCTGATGCCAGGGCACTCTAGCCTGGGAGACAGAGTGAGACTGCCTCAAAAAAAACTATGTATTATCTTTAAATGAAATCATGGTAGCTATGATTTTCTTTTCTTTCTTTCTTTCTTTCTTTTTTTTTTTTTTTTAGAGACAGAATCTCACTTTATTGCCCTTGGTAGAATGCTGTGGCATCACAGCTCACAGCAACCTCCAGCTCTTGGGTTTAGGCGATTTATTTTGTTGCAGTTTGGCCAGGACTGGGTTCAAACCTGCTACCCTCAGTATATGGGGCTGGCGCCCTGCACACTGAACCACAATCACCACCCTGTCATGATTTTCTATAAGATACAAAAATAAGGCTATTGCAGACAACTGTCCTCCTGACTCTGTCATACTTGTGCAATTTCTTTCTTTTTTTCGAGACAGTTTCACTATGTTGCTCTCTGTAGAGGGCTATGGCATCACAGTTCACAGCAACCTCAAACTCTTGGGCTTAAGCAATTCTCTTGCCTCAGCCTCTTGAGTACCTTGGACTACAGGCGCCCGCTACAGTGCCTGGCTATTTTTTGGTTGCAGATGTCATTGCTGTTTAGCAGGCCCAGGCCAGCTTCGGTGTCTGTGGCTTGCGCCCTACTCACTGAGCTATGGGTGCCGAACCACTTGTGTGATTTCTAATCTGTGGAGTGAATGGGTGGAGACGTGGAGAAATTAATGCCACTAAGAGAAGATTCTTCTGACTTACATTTCCCCACAGGAACTTAGGGCTGCCTCACCACACTGTACCCTGAAGGGCCACTCAGGAAAGCACCTGTTTTTGGCCCAGTGGCAGAGGGAGTGAGAAGGGGCTGAGCCCTATTGAGTTTTCTGTGGGAAATGCAGAGCAGGGTGAACAGCCTTGGAAGAGCCACTTTGAAAAATTCCAGCTGGCTATGCTGCATAGTCCTGGGTGACATGGTGAGGGTACACTGGTATGTGGGGAGAAGTCAGGAGGTGACTCAGAGTAGGGCCCTGGATGGTAGGAGAGACATAAACAGCCATGGCCATTGGTTTGGTCCTGTGATTCAGGGATACCGAAAACACAAATACAAAACCTAACATAGTAGGGACACCTGATTCACAGAGAACACCTGATGCTCCCTCTTGGTAGGTAAATTAGGGACCAGGAGGTTTGGAACTAATCTGTTGCCCTCACTCAGTCCTTGCCAGAGTGGAGAAGGCTGGAGCTGCCAGAACAGTGAACACTCCTGGGAGCCTGAGCCACCCCAAGTCCAGCCATGGGCCTGGCTCTGGGGCTGAAGCCATTGCATCCCTCTTCTCCTCTCCTTCTCCAGGAAACTGCCTGTGGCCTTGGCCCAGAGGGCACCTTCCCACTCCCCAGTGTCACACCAAGCCACATGCCCAGAGTCCAGACACGAGAGGCTGGTCCCCCCAGCCTTGTTACTGACTATTGGGGTTCAGTGGGAAGCAGTGCAACCTTGGGGCCATCCATCCCCCATTCCCTCCACCCCTCCCAGGGCCCCAGACTCCTGAGGGTGAAGTGTCCCGAGGCAGGTCATCAGTGCCCTGGCACGTTTGCCTAGAGCAGTGATTCTCCACCTTCCTAAGCCACGGGCCTTTAATACAGTTCCTGTGGGTCACAACCCACAGGTTGAGAACCGCTGGTCTAAAGCCTGGCATACCCTAGCAGGGCGCAGTGCTTGATAAATGAATACAGATGTGGGCTTTGATCCAGATGCTTTGCGTTTTTTTTTATGCCAAATTAACTATCTGAATAAAAAAACAGCCACTATAAGATCTTGTTACCAGTGAAAGCAATTGAACTGTCTGCAAGTCACTGCAAGAGAGCTACCCTATCCTGACAAAGCATGTCACATGCTGAGTACTAGGGCTGTCCCCCTTTATAGGTGGTGGGCTTGGGAAGCCTAGAATACGTGTGAGAGGAAAAATCAGAGGGATAAGCTCAGTGCCTGTGGCTCAAGCAGCTAAGGCACCAGCCATATATGCCTGAGCTGGTGGGTTCGAATCCAGTCCAGGCCCGCCAAACAACAATGACGGCTACAACCACAGAGTTTGAGGTTGGTATGAGCTGTGATGCCACAGCATTCTACCTGGGCCTCATCTTGAAACTCTGTCTCAAAAAAAAAAAAAAGGAAAAGAAAGTTTGTAGAGAAACACTTATGCATTATTATAGGTAGATACCAAGATAAGTTAGAAATACAAAGATGTGGCTCAGCGCATGTAGCTCAGCAGCTAGGGCGCCAGCCACATACACTCAGAGCTGG